AATTCTGAACGAAAAATCGGCTTTTTCTCCGGCCACAGTTGTCTTTGAAAAGTAAGACTATTACCGATGAATAGCGCTTAGGCTGTTTAGTTTACCCTGAAATTACCCAAAAAAGTGAACGGTCCCTTTAAAGATAATTGGTAAATGTAAACAAAATCTTTTCTTCTAGCTAGATACACGAAGGTTTCACTAGAGCCGGTCTAATACATCTCAACATCTTTATACATCTCAACATCTTATTTTAAAGATTTTTGCAGAAAAATACAATTTTTTGATTAAAACAAACTTTAATGAATTAAAAGTGAATTTTTTAACTTAACAGTCACAAAATAAAAATTGTTCTGAGTCAAATTTAGAGCTAAAAAAAGTATTTTTTTACATTTACCAATAATGTTTAATGTATAATCTAAAACAAGTGTTGACAGTTTGGCTAATCAAAACTATATGATCGCCACAGGCTACTTGGACTGAAATTTGTGATTTTTTTCTGCAAATATCTGAACAAAGACAGCAAAAAAGGGGTAGCAGAGCCCTTTTTTCAATTTTCGGTTTTAATATACCCTTTTTAAAGGACTTTTCATAAAAGGTCGGATAAATTTTCACATTTTATTCCAAAACCCTGTCAGCAACTCCAAAACCCTGGGAGCAACTCCAAAATCCTGGGAGCACTCCAAAACCCGGGGGGCAATTCAAAAACCCAGAGAGCAGCCATCCCTCCCTCGGTGGTGTCCACTGTCCAATCTTCATAAGTTCATATACCTACAAATCAGAGATTTAAGACTCATAAGTTTCGCCCTCAGGTTGACTTGAAAGGTAGAGTTTATACGCTAAACTATAATCTCAAGATTCTGACTCATCCGATTGTTCAAAAATTTCCATCAAAGGTGAGCATTTTCTAAATTTTATGAGCAATTTTTGTTTTGTTTATTAGGGAAGATATTAAATAATTCTTTAAAAACATGATCATTACAATCATTTTAAATATTATAGATGACAGCTGTAAGATTTTTTTTAAAAAATATACAGTTTACCAAAAACTTATTCTTTTGCAGTTTTGTGCATATCTAAAGTGTTGCTTTACTCAATAGAGTCTTGTCACCTGTCGAGGAATTGTTTTTAAGTCACAACAACAAAATATTGTTTTTTTTCGGCTAAAATAAATTTCCAAGCTTTTATGACATAGTTTCCAAAACATATTCTTCCTTGTACTATAGCAACGAAATACTTATCGGAAAATAGTTTTTAAAAACCGGACCATTTTGCGTATGTAAAAGATATTTCCCCAAAAAGGCGCATTTATGCATAACAACATTTTTCTAAAGTTTTAGCATTATGCCTATAGAAGCAAAGAGTTCCCCTAAAGGGCGCCAATATGCGTATAAACTTTTTTCTAAAACAGTGGCACTAAATGACAAAGAAAGATATTCTCCAAAAAGGCGTAATTATGCGTGAAAAAATGGCCTCCTAAACGTGTGCTTATTTGCGTATGAAAAAGGATTTCACAAAAAGAATAACGGTTTTCCAACATGGCGCCATTATACGTTTAAAAAAGATGGTTTATCAAGGCTTCCACAATATTCCTCTCTGCTGTAACTTTAAACTGTAAAGTCTTTATTTCTATTTGACGATCGACCTTCCTTCTAGGCCTGGGCATGGGGGACATATTTTAGGAAATCTTGTCAATTTTCTTCAATTATCGTTTGTACTTATAAACATGTTGTTCCTTGATTTTACTATTTCTGTCTGTAGGTAATTTATTATTTGGTAATCGATGTAAACGTTGTTTTTAATTAAAAAAGGCTAAAAGTTAGCAATTCAGTATAATTGTTACTAATCGTTGTTATTAATAGTTCTTGAAGATTGATTTTGAGGACAAAGCATTTATGAAACTTTTCCTCTTAATTAATTAATGCCAAATCTTTCTGATTGAAATAGTTTAAAAGATGATTTTTAAAACAACAAATACCGTTTGTTAATTGAAATAATGATAGTTTTTGCTTAATGTCCATCCCTACATCATGGCTTTTGGTGGTGCAACAAGGCTGTGCACTGCAGGGAAGTGTTCAAGGGGGGAAATTGAAAGAAAATCTATAAATTCTAGAAGTCCAGTAATAGATCTTTATACAAAAGGGTTTAGCTGCTGTCTTAGTGTAAAACTTCATTTTAAAAAGGAAAAAAACTTGGTTCATAGATCTCGGAATTTAAACTTCGGTTTCATAATTCTCCTTTAAATAATTAAAACTTTTGTTTATTGGGACACCTTCACTGTAAAATACACCTTTTAAAAAAAGGATTAAATGTTTAAACTGAAAGTATCTAAAGAGTGAAAACAAATAAAGACAGCTATATAAAAAAATTTGTCAAAAACTCTCATTTTTTAAACCCTATATCTAAGCAACGAAATGCAATTTAGATATTTCAAACTGTGAATTCTGTTAAATCAAATGATTTAAGTTAGAAAATGTCAAAGGTTTACATCATCAGGTTGCAAAGATATAGGCATTCGAAAATTTGAGTTTGTGGCAATGACTCAATTCCTTTAGCATCAATTTTCGAGACTAGGTCGAATTTTAAGTGTCCTAATGAAATAGTTTTAGATTTTACGTCACCAACTCGAAAAAACGTTTTTGTAGCCCTAGCCATGTACATCTTAGAACTTGCAGACGCCTGAAAGTCGAACAAACGTGACATGTAAGGATGCATTTGTGTATCTGCACTTCTGACGCATTAAAGTGTGACAAACAAAACAAATGATGTCGATATAAATCTAAAGATGCATGAAACCTTGGATACATAAGAAATAAAATATTAAGAAACAAACTTCAGTGGTAGGTTATTATGACAATACCATGAAGACGACTTTTTATTTAAGTTTTGATGGTTACCAAGCTCTTTTCAAAATACAAGTTTACAAGAAAGCACAGAGAAGATTTATTAATTGACAGCTTTTCTTGACTTCTATAGTTTTGTGTATCTATGCTGTTTAACAGTTTGATATAAATCAAAATTGAAATCGAAAGTATATAAGAAATCAACTACTTTTAAATACGCACAATTGTAGTCTGTATTGAATTTATATAAGCTCCTACAACTGTCACATAAATCAGTGTACTTATGAAAAGTTTCATTAATTTAAAAGACAGGGTCGACTTTGAAGTGTCGCATCGTCTTGGGCTTTGATTTTATCGCTCTAATTAACTCGCTTATGCATTTCTGTAGCCCTTTACACTATAAACACTATAAAGCACTTGTTGTTAGTTTTTGTGTTTAAGAAGAAATTGACAAAATTCTCATCAATTTTTGCTTGAGAGCGTGAGACCTTTTAAACACAGTGCTGTATGTTATATAGAGTAGACTGGTATACAGTGAGGGTGAGGTGACCACCCTAAGATGTGCAGCTGAGGGGGTTCCTAACCCTGTTATATCTTGGTTCAGAGACAAGTCCAATATTCCTATAGGTAAATATCAAGTATAACTATATTCAAGTACATCCTGTTTTAACCAGGGCCTTTAATTAACCATAATATGGTTCCTGTTTAAAGGGAGTGAACGGCTATTATAAGGTAATTGAACTGAGTATGCATTGTTGTCGAAAACTTCTTTAGGATTCATTTGAGACATATTTCACTTTTTAAAGATCTGTAAATCCTGAGTTTGAGCGCAAATTCGACGTTCAAAACTCCTGATTTGGGGGTGCATGGATAATCTTTCAGAATTAGTTTTTTTAAATTATTAAATAACGACAACGAAAAATAAAGTAAAAATTATACAGTAATCTAATTAGATGGCTAGGAACATATTTCTCAAAAGAAATTTGTCAATAAATCAATGCTAAAATCGATTATTTCGTTTTCATTATTATATTGTATTTCTAATTTTCTTTGAATTTATTCGCAGATTTCTTCAAATTCTTTAAATGTCGTCTTTTCAATAATAGTTATAGAAAATCTGCGAACATCTTTGTGAATAACGAGAAACTAGAATAATGAGATAATAGAAACTAATAATTGAACATGATTACTTATTTTCGATGATAAGATTAATTTTTAGTTTCTCAAAATGTTCCTAAACATGACGTCTGTAGTTTATTGTAGAATATTTCTACATTTTATGTCGTCGTTAATTAATAATTTAAAAAAAAAACTATTTCTGAAAGCGTATCCGCCCCCAAATCAGGAGTTTTGAACGTTAAATTTGCGCTCAAACTCAGGATTTACAGATTTTTAAAAAGTTTTATATGTCTCAAATGAATCCTAAAGAAGTTTTCCACAACACTGCATACTCAGTTCAACTACCTTACATACCCGGTCACTCCCTTTAAGGGACTGTTAATGAATTCTTAAATGGTTTGTCTGATTCACATTTGTATCCATTAAATCGTTTTTGATTACGAATGAATGGGATATCCATGTTTGTTTGAATCGAACTCAAGAGCAACGTTTTTTACCAGGTCAACCGAAAATTGACACAAATAATTCTGAGATTTAAAAAAATCAACTTGCTAATTATGTTGGATAGTTGGAAAGCTTAGATTTTTTAATTTATAAGATATTCCAAATTTAGAAAATGAGAACATAAAAATATATAATGTAAAACTGTGATAATGTGACATAACTATACAGGAGGGGCCAGGGGGGTGATATCCCCCCCCCGGTTAAAGTAAAAACTGTGATTTCCATGTAAAGTTAACAAAAAAGATGCAAAAACTAATTCAATAATTACGTATTGAGCATTTGTATTTGTTGAACGGATGAGAAAATTATGAAAATATGTAATTTTTTTCATGTGAATTTTGATCAAATAAATTGGTTCAAGTTTTCTTATAGTTTTCTACTAAACTTGAAAACGTTTGCTAGTTTTAGAGTCATGTGTCTCACAGGAGAAATTACTGAGCTAAAGAGAGAAGAAGGTATAATAATGATAATATTGAACTACTAATAAAAGGACAGTTAAAAGTTGATTAGAATAAAAACCATATTCATAAAAACTTTATTTATAGATGTGAGGCTACAAACAGTGTCGGAAAATCTTCTGGAACATTTCACATTATAGTTCAGTGTACGCAACTTTTATTCATTAGTGATGAACAATAATCGGATTGGAAAAATCTTGGTATTGTATTGACACAGTTTAGTTTAGTCTGACATATTATATTGTATTGACACAGTATAGTTTAGTCCGCCATATTATATTGTATTGACACAGTTTAGTTTAGTCCGCCATATTATACTGTATTGACACAGTTTAGTTTAGTCCGCCATATTATATTGTATTGACACAGTTTAGTTTAGTCCTCCATATTATATTGTATTGACACAGTATAGTTAAGTCCGCCATATAATATTGTATTGACACAGTTTAGTTTAGTCTGCCATATTATATTGTATTGACACAGCTTATTTTAGTCTGCCATATTATATTTTATTGACACAGTTTAGTTTAGTCTGCCATATTATATTTTATTGACACAGTTTAGTTTAGTCTGCCATATTATATTGTATTGACACAGTTTAGTTTAGTCTGCCATATTATATTTTATTGACACAGTTTAGTTTAGTCTGCCATATTATATTGTATTGACAAAGTGTAGTTTAGTCCACCATATTATATTGTATTGACAAAGTTTAGTTTAGTCCGCACTCCGCCATATTATATTGTATTGACAAAGTTTAGTTTAGTCCGCCATATTATATTGTATTGACGCAGTTTAGTTTAGTCCGCCATATTATATTGTATTGACAAAGTTTAGTTTTGTCCGCAATATTATATTGTATTGACAAAGTTTAGTTCAGTCCGCCCTACTATATTGTATTGACACAGTTTGTTTTGAGTTTATTCGTCAAAATTAAGGAATACATGTTTGTTTTCATTATTGAATGGTGAATACTAGCTGAAGTGTCCGGCGTTGCCCGTGAAAATTCAAAAATGTCAAATTTTGTTTAACACATGGATTTGCAATTTCAGTCAATTTGTTCCATGGCCGTTCGCCCAGCTGAAACGAACAAGAGCAAACAGCTTAATGGTGCAGATTTGAAACTTATCTTTTTTTCGTTTAAACCTTTTTGAAATGTTTTCATGTTACTTTTCATTAAAATTTAGAAATTTTTAATTATTTATTTTGATGGTTGATATATTGTTAGAACTAAAGAGTGCTCTTGGCTTACAAAATATATATTTTAAACCATGGAAAATAACATCGGCTTTAACTACTTTATTATGGTTGGGATCAACATCAATTTCAAAATTTTTAATCTAGGGAAAATATTAACCAATTAATCAATCAATCAATCAACAATCATACAATCAATCAGTCAACTTGTAATTGGTTTGTTTAGACACGCCACGTGTCAGTGTAGATCAGAGGATAGCCGTAACAAATTGTAATCTGGTGGTCGAATTACAGTGTTTTGTGGACGCCAGCCCTCAACCTCAGGTAGAGGTCATTCTACAGGGTAGGTAGGAAGGAGTGAAGGTAAGAAGGAAGGTAGGATGGTGAGAAGGTAGGAAGACAGGGAGGGGGGATAGGTACAGGGGCGGACACAGGGGGTGGCGGTCCTGTCCTAATCCTTTAATTTTGTTCCTTATTCCTGAACAATCTTTTTATTGTTCCTAAATCCTTGTCCTAATCCTTTAATTTTGTTCCTAATTCCTGGACAATCTTTTTATTGTTCCTAAATCCCTGTCCTAATCCTTTAATTTTGTTCCTAATTATCAATTTTTTTGTTCCAAAAACATCTTGCCCCCCCCCCCTCACTTAAATCCTGTGTCTGCCCCTGGATAGGTAGGTTATAGGTAGGAAGGTAGGAAGGTAGGAAGATAGGAAGGTAGAAAGGTGGGAAGGTAGGAAGGTAGGAAGGTAGGAAGGTAGAAAAGTAGAAAGGTAGGAAGGTAGGAAGGTAGAAAGGTAGAAAGGTAGAAAGGTAGAAAGGTAGAAAGGTAGGAAGGTAGGAAGGTAGGAAGGTAGAAAGGTAGGAAGGTAGGAAGGTAGAAAGGGGAAGGGGGAAGGTGTTTTGAGGAGGCCTGCACTCAACCTCAGGTAGAGGTCGTTCCATAGGGAAGGTGGGAAGGTGAGAAGATAGGAAGTTAGAATGAGGGAAGGTAGAAGGAGGGAAGGTAGGAAGATGGGAAGGTGGGAAGGTGAGAAGATACGAAGGTAGAAGGAGGGAAGGTATGAAGATGGGAAGAAGGAAAGGTAGGAAGATGGGAAGGTGAGAAGATAGGAAGTTAGAAGGAGGGAAGGTAGGAAGATGGGAAGGTGAGAAGATAGGAAGGTAGAAGGAGGGAAGGTATGAAGATGGGAAGAAGGACAGGTAGGAAGCTGGAAATGTATTAGAGAAGGTGACATAAAACTCTGGGTACATATTGAACACTATATAAAATGATGATACGAACTCTCAAGGGAAATAAATTACTTAGTTTTTAAATTGAGTTTATCTCAACTGAAATAAAATCCCCCTTTTATCTAACATTATTTTTCAAATATTATGAAAGGGACTGTATGCGCATGTTTCAAGTGACCCTCTATTCAAAGATGGCAATTCCCGATTCACAACGGTACCCTGAAAAGCTTTTTCTGATTTAGTATGAATTATGTAAGCAGATTTTATTTAATTAAGTTTTCTCTACAAAAGTGAACTGTACATTTCTACTGGAGGAAAACGTATCAGAATTATCAGTTGTGAATCGGGCATTGTAATCTTTGCATGGAGAGTCACTTGAAATAAAATTAAAGATCGAACTTTATATTCTTTAATGGTTCGTATGTACTCTGTGGTCAGTTTAGGTATTTTGTAAATCTGGGAAACCAAAATTTGACTCCTTAAAACAATTGGTGTTTTTAAACAAACTATTATTAAAAGTACTAATGCTTTAAAATGTGACTGCGGGTGAGGACATTGCAGGGTTCATGGNCCTACATTGGTCTAGAAACCAGGAACTAATAACTGTATAATCTAGGTTTGGTGGAATGGTGTTTCCATGGATCCATTAAAACATAGTTTATTAAACAACAATATTCTACACATCAAAACCATAAGTAAGCAAAATTCCAACTGATTTCTCGTCTCAAAATCTTATCTTCTATAAATCCCTATATCTTTGAACCTAATAGTTTTTATTTGCAACTCTAATAATTTAATCTAACATGATTTAGTAGTTTACAGCATTAGGCTTTAAAGTTATAAGGATTAGAAAATTAGTGTTATAGGCGCTTTAAAGTTATAAGGATTAGAAAATTAGTGTTATAGGCGAGTATTCAGTTTAGTTTTTTATCATAAAATATCAAGAAAGTACCTCAATTTATTATGAATAATATGAATTTCTTTTTGAAAATTGACAACTCGTCTTATATAACTTGTCCTACAGCTCACTTTGATCTTGCCAGACCACATTTGCTGCATAAAACGTGCTGCGTCGATATTTTACACTGGGTAGTCCAAACTGGACAGACCGACTGAATATATTCTACAGTGGGTAGTCCAGACTGGAGGGTACGATTGAATATATTGTACACCGGGTAGTCCAGACTGGACAGAACGACTGAATATATTGTACACTGGGTAGTCCAGACTGGACAGAACGACTGAATATATTGTAAACTGGGTAGTCCAGATTGGACAGTACGTCTGAATATATTGTACACTGGGTGGTCCAGACTGGACAGAACGACTGAATGCTGCTACTTTTGGAGGGCTAAAGACGATCAGAATTTCTTACCATATGATGATGAAAATACAAGGACGTATACAGGGGGCCGGGAGCAAAGGGTGCATCCCCCTAGACATGTAAAGAACTCATCCCCCCCCCCCCCTAGAACTTAGAGCTATCATACTTTTCAAATCTGAAACTAAAGAGTGAAGAACATAAAAACTTAGTTTGCTTTTTTCTGCTAATTTTGTTTCAACGAGAGATACAGTAGTATACTTGTAAGGTAATTGAACTGTATGTGTACCTATAAAGTATCCAAGAAGTCAAAATGTTTTCAATTTACAATTCAAATGTTGCCCCCCCTCCGGTCCCTAGGAGCTTAAATTCAATCTTCTCTCTTAATAATTTCTTTTAATTGGCTAATTCAATTTAATTATTTAATTATTTCACAAAGAAAGAAAGAAGTTTGTAGGTACTCATGAATAAAGGGAAACAGAGCTGAAAACTTTAGAATGAGATATCCTGAATCCCGATTACTTAATCTGAGTATCCAATGAACACACTTCACTTTTTATTTTCTTCTTAAACCGTTCTTTCTTGGATATAGTAGAGAAAAATCAAAAACCCGTTTTTTTTAAAGAGTTCCTCCCATTTCTGTATATAATCTTAAATGGCGCGCAAAATTTCAAATTTATCGGTTTCATATACCGTACGCGACTCTGATTGGTTGAATTTCATACACTTTTCAGGATACAAGTACAAGATTAGATTAGTCTCGATATTAAGAAAAAGAGAGGATCAAGCATTAATCTCGATATCCACCATTCTAAAGTTTTCAGCTCAGGCCAAATAAATTCCGTGCAGTCTGAAATGTATCTTTGTGTTTAAAAACTTATTTTTTAGATAGAAACACTTCAAGTTGGAAAGTAAAAATAATAATTACAGTCCTCCCAGTTCGTCGATATTCTCTATCAAAGAGACAAGCTTGTTACTTTTCCTGGAAAACTTGTTTCTGTTTTAGCTTTTACATGAATTCGAGATTTGTAGACAAATTGTTTTTAGATTTATTGCATTTCCTAAAAGTTTCAGATTTGAATTCTGTTAGCAGAAACTTGTCTTACTAAGAAATATGTTGTCTGCGCATTTCTGAATTTGATCCTTTGAACTTGTTTTGGACGCCGGAAATAAATTTATTTAATGTTGAAAATATTTTTCAAGATCCTTGGGTTTTAAGATTTTTTATTTTTTTTTCGAGGCAAGAGAGACTCAACCTCGGTATTTTGGTATTTCGTGGATTTTCAGAATATAATTCCTGTTTTAGACTCGATGTTAAGATAAAAACCTATATTAGTCTCAATGTAAAGGTTAAAAACCTATTTAAGACTTATGACGTCAAGTTAAAATAAATTTTACTTTAGATTGGACGGATATAGGAAATATAACGTGTTCTGCAAGAAATGAAGCTGGTTATGCTGAAGCTACGCAAACAATATCTGGTAAATTTTCCTCTAATCATGTCCAAGGTAGGGGGGATAGAGTTTGTGTACAGGTCACTGACGTAATCGAACCATGCTCAGTAACTAATTCAATGTGAATAATTAACGGTTATTGAACAAGCCCATCCCAGCCTATTCAATCCTGTCCGACATTTTTTAAAACAATTTTTGTTATTGTTAAGCAGTCAAAATCAAATCAAAAGTTTTCTATTCTATTATATAATGGCTGACACATGATGCCATTGAAATCTGATAATTTTAGATTTTATTGGGGTGTTGTTACTGAAAAAAACGTTTAAATAGTGTCAATGCAAAGGTATAGATATCATTGAAAAGTAAAACTAATAAAATTGAATAGTTAATAGGCTAATTAGTGTACCATAAAATTACACAAATAAGTGAACGGTCCCTTTAAGTATAAACACCTTGGTTCAATGTGTGAAGAAACCATATCCCCTTACCTTTCATATAGATACTTTAGTTACACTTATATCTATAAACTTAATGCATGTAATTAAACCGTTTTCTGTCATCCTACAAATATGTTTAATTTTAGTGTTATTCAGGAATCCATGGTATTATTTGAGGCTTAATTAGTCGGGANAACTTTTATTTTATTTTTTATTTTTATTATTTGTAATAAAAATAAAATAATATCTAATTCATTCTCTTGAATCGGACATGCAACTCTATACATGTAGACTCACTTGAACTTCAGTATACAGTCTCATTTAGTTGCTGAAATTTTGAATCCAGATATAAAGCTTATTAAAAGAATTTTGACAAACTTCAAGTGAAGTGTTGTACAGTTTAAACATATTTGAAATATTGTATTTCTGTGACAGCTTCAAGTTTTTGCTGACCCTCTCAATCCAATATTTGAACTTGAAAAATAATGATTTTAAAAACAACATTTCTTGGTAGATTTTAGTCCTGTTATAGAAAATTAATATAGGAGATCTCAATGTATTTAATACCAGGTTTTTAGGGCGCTTCGCGCCCATCTTCTATTTAAATTGTGAACTTGTTCTTTTTGTTTACATTTTAAAACAAAGAAGAAAAAATTTTGCGAATTTTTAATAAAAAATTCGCGGATTTTCAAGAATTTAAATCTTTTTTACAAAATTAAAAACCTTTAAAACACATTTTTTTTAATTTTTATCACTGTGGTCACGTGATGTACCACAAAAAATTTGGGCCCGATCGGTTCAGCCGTTTTCACGTTTATTGGATACAAACAAACAGACACCCAGACAGACAAGCCAAATTTATATATAGATGAATCATTAGTGCTGGACAAAGATCTGTTTGCGCGAAATAGTTCTTTCTTGATTTAATTAATGTAAATTCCAACATGGATTCACACACGCAAAGCTAACGACAGCCAGGTATGTCCGGACTGAATTTAAATAAAATCACGTCAGTTTTTGATTTGTTATCTAGAAAGCAAAGTGCAAAATGATCTGATATTTAAAACCTCTATATATACTTTGGTTGTCTGTTTGTTTTGTGTGAGACCTCACCTGACCCTAGGGAAGGTTTATGCATGAACAAAATATCAAAAATTAGCCTCAAACTAAATAAAATTTTTATAAAATTTAGAAAATCCACGAAACTTTTTTTCTAGAATCCTCTAGCGTTTTTTGTAGATTAAAATCGTTAACGAACGAAAATAGACAATCATGAAAAAAAGAATGGAACATAAAGAAGATTAACGAACTGGATGTGTTTTACAATAACTGAAACTTTAGTTAATTTTTCTGCTTAAAATAGCATACTACTGAAAATAGAAACTAAATGTATGAGTTTTGATGTTTTTTATTTGTTTTAATGATTACTAATGTTGTCTTATGATTGGCTGGCGCCGTAAACGATTTCTAAAAAATCTTCCGTTAACGTCGTTAATCAGAAGTTGCGATCGTTAACAAACCGTAATTTAAAGAAAAAAGAACGGAAAATACCGCTGAACGTTGGTATCAAGTTATGTTAGGTTAATGAAAACAAACCAATGTCACGTTATCAATTGATGTTTAAGCTAAGATTTTCTTAAAAACGACATCAAGTACAAACAAGATTCCCTAAATGTCGTCTTCACATTTCACAGTTTAATAGGTCCCACTGTACAATTTTCATAATTCATCCATTATTCAAAAGATCTCTCTTGTGGCTACTGACTGGTGGGGGATGTAGGGGGTTTGGATTCTCTATTAGATTAATCCCCACACCCTCTGAGTAAATTCCAAAACCTCATTTGACAGTATTTTATTTCGATATCTGTATTCTATTGTACAGCTATTGCAAGTTTGTAGATTTATATTTTAAATATACCGGCATATACGACGAATCAATGATAACGATAAATTTTTAAATTAGAAATTAAAAATTGTTAATTTAATCTCTAATGTTGTTAAAGAAACACATTAAAGATAAATGCATATTATGATATTTATTTATATTCATATCATCTACAGGATGAGACTGTAAAGATGACTAAAAGCTCTAAAATACAGCGATTTGAAGCTTGATTTTTGGGTTCTGCATTCAATTGAGTATTGTGATGGTTTACTGAACGATTAAGCACAGAAATATGCCAGTTTTGACCTACAATTGGAACTGTAAATACAAGAAAACGGACTAAGCAATTCTCTACAATTGGAACCCTAAATACAAGAAAACGGACTAAACAATTCTCTACAATTGGAACCCTAAATACAAGAAAACGGACTAAACAATTCTCTACAATTGGAATCCTAAATACAAGAAAACGGACTAAACAATTCTCTACAATTGGAATCCTAAATACAAGAAAACGGACTAAACAATTCTCTACAATTGGAATCCTAAATACAAGAAAACGGACTAAACAATTCCCTACAATTGGAATCCTAAATACAAGAAAACGGACTAAACAATTCTCTACAATTGGAATCCTAAATACAAGAAAACGGACTAAACAATTCTCTACAATCGTCCCTTAAGTTGCTTATCTGTCTGATTGTTTGTCTGTTTTTTTTGTATCCTATAAACGTCAAAACGACTGAACCGATCGAGCCCAAATTTTTGTGGAACCTCATGTGACCCCATGGAAGGTTTATGAATGATTGAATTTTCAAAAATTTGCCTCTAACAAAATTCAATCTTTGAAAATTCTTTTTATAAAATCCGCAAAATTTTGTTGTCTTTGTTTTAAAATGTATTTAAAGAAAGCATGTTCACAATTTAAATAGAAGATGGTCGCGAAGCGCCATAAAAGCCTAATAAATATATACTTTGCTTGTTTGTTTTTTTGTAACCGATAAAAGTCAAAAGGTGAATTCCACTTTATTTCACAAGATTGGCAATATTTGGTCCATTGGTTTTCTAATTATATGAATAAAAGTCAGTTCAATAACCGTGTTTATTTCGTTTGTATTGAATTATCATTTCGTTAAAGATGATCCCCCCCCCCCCCCCCCCCCTCTCATTTCAGGAAACAATAATCGAGTTCAACTCAGAAAAGTTTAAGGATAAACTCGACTTTTTTAAAAGTAAATTATAAACTATAGATTTATTTTAAACTAGTATTTAATACTTAGTTGTATTTGCTGCAGGAAAGAACGAGGATTCCATATTTCTCCTTTATTAGTACATTTCTCCCACTTAATGGGACTGTTAGCGTGATTTCAAGTGACCTCCGGCTTTCAAGCAAAGATGACAATGCCCGATTTACAACGATTCAATTGAAACCTTTTTTCTATACTAGATAATGTGGAAGATATTTTCGTTTTTTTTAGGTTTAAAAGTGTTTAAATTTGATCATTTCTATATGTTTCGACGGTTTTACTTTGTAGAGAAGTCACAATTGAAAAGAATCACTTTTTAAAATCATAAACATTGATATCTGATTGATATACTTGATAAGACAAAGTTTTCAACTGTAACGTCATAAATTTGACACTGTCAGCTTTGAATGGAGAGTCAATGAATATAGCACACCCAGTCCCTGTAGAGTCTGTTAAATCTCGTGTATAAGCTGAAGTATAAAAAGAAGGATTTATTTTCTCATCTTCTTCTAGTTCCTCATTGCACTCCGGGGGTCAAGCTATACAGCCTCTAGTCACATAAGGATGGAAGATTTGAAAATTTGTTTTCATATGTTCAAGAGTTCAAGAGAAGAATATCTGAGTCACAACAGTACTCTCTATAAACCTGATCAAAATATGAATAATTAACGTCATTTTTTATTAAATATGGTTTGAAAGTTTCTTCATGATTGTTTCTTGAACAGAAATGCGCAATTCACTTTTCAGAAAACCCCAATCTGAAAATACTCAATGTTTAAATAAATAATGATTGTTATATACATACTTGATCAGACAAAGCTTTAAGATTTAAAATTGTTAAAAATCGTTTTAGAAAATCATTGCATAATGCTTTTTAAGCAAATTCAAATTGAAACTTTCTCTCAAAAGTATTCATCGATGACTATAGGTTGTAATATCTGAATGATTTGTTTGAAATTAAATTGATTTTTTACGGTCTAAGTCGTATGTTGCAATTTTCTCATTTTGTATGGACGCTAAGTTATTCGGTATGAGGCGTCTTTAACAATTTTCGCCTTATATAGACGCAACAGTAGAAGTAATATTAGTAGCGATCAAAAGCGCTTTTTATCGCATTAAGCCTATACCCCCTTTCATTTTTCGCGAACACTCCCTTTAAGGCAGGGTTTGGGGTGATGGGGGAGGGGCGCATGCCGTGAAAGAAATTAAATTTTGAACATTTAACCCCGTGTGTACGATTATAATTTGAAAAGTTAGAAGAAAATCAAAAGATTTTATGCAATGGGTCCCATTAAACATGATGATTTGAGAATAATTTCACAAGTCATCTTTTTCATTTTGATAACTTAGATGAGTGGTTCATAGGGCCGCCATGAGCCACGCAAATGACTCCAAGCTCTAATTCAATGCGGGACATGTAGACAGAATGATAGAGGCACGGAGGTGAAGCGAGAGGCACGGAGACGGTTTTGCCGGGGCTTGGAGGTCATTCTGCGAATCAGGAGGCTATGGATTTCATTTTGCGGGTCAATTCCTAACTCCTTTGAAAAGAATGCTAAACATGATAAACCTGTTTTGTGATATTTAGTGAAGAAATTTCCCGACCTAACCTACAGACACAACGAATAAAAATGTCAGATTTTAACATTGTTTCAGATAGAAACATCTTCCACGTTATAAACCAAAGAAATTTGTTGGGGTACCGTTGTGAATTGTGCACGGGCCTATAGTTAAATGCAGGTTCACTTGTAATTACAACTACTGCAGTCCCCTTTATAATATATAACATAAGAACGCAAAATAAAGCTAAAGCTGAAAGAAAGAGAAAGGTTCAAAAGAATCCTAATCTTCTTATGTTTCACAAACTCCATGGGAGGGAGCAAGAGATAAGAAAATTCTTTGCACTGCGTTAATTAATCTTTATCTTAATCTTATTTCACCATTGATATTGTGCAGAGATATAATTCTCCAAATATTTTATTGAGACCCATCTAGGCTATACAACTATTTGATTCCTTTAAAAAAAGAAATATACGTAAAACAGATTAAAATAGTTGTAAAAAGAATCTTTGCTTAATAGGACTGTAAACGTAGTTTCAAGCACCTCGCCATGTATAGATTGGCATGTTCGAATCTCAACAGTACCTTTAAAACCTTTGCTTGATCAAAAATGAATGAGTTATTCATATCTAACCGGGAAAAGATTTTTTCTTTTTCTTAAAAGTTTCTTAATTAAACAAAATTAATTAAATGAAATTAATTAAAATTAATTAAACAAAATTCAATAGAAAAGGTCCCCTTAGTGTTTCTCAGATGGGAGGTACCCTTGTGAGTTGGAAGAGTCACTATTTTTAAAATTGAGGGGCCTTTGAAATTAAGTCTACAGTCTGTTAAAAAAATTATCTTTTATAGCTGAACAAGTTTAAAAAAAAAATTCAAGAGTTAAGAACTTTTGAATTGTGGATATCAAGATCTAAGCTTGATCTCGATCTTTTGTTAATCTTCAGATCTATTTAATTTTTATCCGATATCCGGCATGGTAATTAAGAGATTAAACATGATTAAATTAAACCTGCTCACTGTTAATATTGAAATTCTCCAACACAAAAGATCCCCGCTTAGGATATATTGGTTAACCGGTTTTAAACATTTTTATATTTGATTGATTGATTGATTTAGGTAAACCAACAGTTCCAGTTCTCTCCAGCAGACCTGGAACCAAACCAAATATTCAGGCAAGCTACTGCAGCGTCATCCTCAAAAATCTATTTAAGGGGTCCATCTTTAAAAATCTTGAAAGGACGCAATCTTTAAAAAACTACCCTGGACGCCATTTGAAATAATTTTATTATGGCACAATTTTTAAAAATCTTGAAAGGACGCAATCTTTAAAAAACTACCCTGGACACTATTTGAAATAATTTAGTTATGGCACAATCTTTAAAAATCTTGAAAGGACGCAATTTTTAAAAAACTACCTGGACACTATTTGAAATAAATTAGTTATGGCACAATCTTTAAAAATCTTGAAAGGACGCAATCTTTTAAAAACTACCCTGGACACTATTTGAAATAATTTAGTTATGGCACAATCTTTAAAAATATTGAAAGGACGCAATCTTTAAAAAACTACCCTGGACACTATTTGAAATAAATTAGTTATGGCACAATCTTTAAAAATCTTGAAAGAACGCAATCTTTTAAAAACTACCCTGGACGCTATTTGAAATAATGTGGTTATGGCACAATCTTTAAAATTATTGAAAGGACGCTATTATTAAAATCTTCTAAGGAGACCATTTTAATTTCTTCTTACATTAATTAATTAAACTTGTTTTCTGTACAGGTTGTGTACGGTCAAAGTGTATCTGTGAGCAGTGTACTGTTTTTTAATATTCAAACAAGAAACATTAATAGGCGTACAGATATTAGGTAATTTACTTAGAATAATTTAGATAATTATTCAACAGAATTAATTACAGAATATAAATTATGAGATATGGACTAAAAAGTATAAGAGAACATATTATTAATGGCTTATTAGAGATATTAAATGAATGGAAATACAGTATTAGCCACAGAGAGAGAGACTTCAGAGGCGACTGCGCAGAATTTATTTGATCTTTTTGCTTCTTACTTTTTCGTTTCTTTAGAATGATATTTAAAGATCAAATTCAGCCTTTGCGTATCATCATATTTAAAGAAATTTAAGTGAAACTTTTTTGTTTGTTTTTAAGAGATTCTGAATGGAATATAACATTGCTGGAAACTACTGCGCGTACCAATCAATGCTTCAGCTTTAGGTAAAATATATTGTACATTGTCTTAAAGGGAGTGTTGACGCTTTTCAAAGTGCACCTTCATATAATAATAAAAAGAGTATAGCTTGTCATCATATATCATTTAACCTTTTATCTGAGTAGCATTGAGGAAAATATCGTCAATTTTATCCTTTAAAAAATTTCACAGGGAAAAGGATATTTAATTCATTGTTGATCACAAGGTACTAATGCAAGGAAAGTTATTTCAAAGGTGTACGCATTTTTTGTACTGCAGTGTACTGACTTTGGGCGGAAAAGTAAATACAAGACGGATGTTACAGCCTGACATGGAATCCATTTTCACAAATATAATCAATGAAATATTCTGGTCATAGGAAACTATTTTGTGAATTTTCAAAATTATCAAAATTAAATGCTTTTAACCTCGGATACTAGACGAACATTGATGCCATCAATTCTTGTTTACATATTCCGCCCAAAGAGAACGGTTTTCAATATGTCCGCAGAGTATACACGGCCGCAATTAACTTTCCTTGATCATAGAAAGGTTTAAAGAGAACCGTTATGATACACTTGATGAAACTTATTAATTATATATAAAGATAAAATATATGCTATAATTGATTAATTTGACCAAAACTATAATGTACTGTAGTATCGAAGTTGATGTACATGATTGCGTACAAGTGATTGTAACAGCTGAAAACAATTTTGGAACCTCCCTCCCTTCCCCCACCCTCACACTACAGTCAGGTTCATTTTTATAATTAGTCTAAGACTTCAAAGACGACTGTACAGAATTCATTTAGTCTTAAGAACTTGTGATTCTCTACAGCTGAGCTTGTTTATCTTTTTATCAAAGCACCCAAATACCTGTAACTGAGTATATTATATTATATAGACAAAACCTCCAAGTTTAACCCTTAGATTAAATCTTACAAGTTTGAGGTCGTCATTAAAATTCATCCTTTGTGGGTAGTACATGGTAATTATGTGTTAATAACTTTTGAACAATATTTAGTAGATTCTTTGACTTTCTTTGACTTTCTTTGACTTTCTTTGACTTTCTTTGACGTTCTTTGACTTTCTTTGACTTTCTTTGACTTTCTTTGACTTTCTTTGACTTTCTTTGACTTTCTTTGACTTTCTTTGACTTTCTTTGACTTTCTTTAACTTTCTTTGAAATGATGAGTATTTTTTTAACGAAATTTTTTGTATTTTGCTTTCTAATTACCTAAGAAGGATTACTTAAACTGAAATCTGAAATAAGGTCAAAAACTTCTTTACACTTTTTGCATCAATTATAATCTTGTAAATGGGCTAAAAATCTTGAAGATATCAATGCCCGTGTAAAAAGTAAGAATAAGAAGTATTAGAAAAGACTGTATTTGTAAATAAATACAATGACAAATTATTTGAAATTTCCTAAATTTATATGCATGTCGTTAAATACTATAAATATCAAAATGTATTATTTACTTTTTTCAGTTTTTCCGCCCCAGAGTTCTGGAGGCATAGTGTACTGCAGTACAGTTGTACTCAGCTGGAAACCGTTTTTCATAAACGTACTTTTCTTAGTATTAAACATATCCTTATCCTTTCATTACTCCTGATGAACATGGAATAAACTAATTTTTGCAGGTTCAGTATTATTTCAGAGAAATGGATATTTTTATAATATGCAATATCCAACAGCTTATGTTTTAACATTCAACAAAATATTCACAAAGAACACTTTGTAGATATACAGTGAAAACTCTAGAATAGGAAGATGGTTTTAGACTCAATTGATGGTATTTAATAGTCAAATGTAAATGGAACAGAGCAATTGTGCATTGCACACAGACCATTTCAATTTTAAATAATCTTTTAAGATAATAATTAAACTATTAACTTTGTTTAAAAATTAAATACACTTTGAATATTTTTAATGTCGTCTTCCCACTTCACAGATTTCCTGGCTCTCAATGTATGTATATATAAATATCTCAAAAACCCTTTATAAAATACGAATAATATTCCTCATTTTTGTACTTTTGGAATAAAATCAAAAATCTTACTGATGAAAGATGTCTCAAAAAAAACCTGAGCACTTTTGCAATGAAAAAGTAGGGTTTCCATTCACAATGTTTGCAACAGTAGCACAAAATATACAAATCGTTATGTGCCTAAATACTTAGATTTATCTTGATGCAGGTTACAACTAGAGATTGTATTATCCATCTGTATGTCGAATGAAAAATACAAATTTTGAGCATCATTGCGCTAAATGCTACTCGTAAACCTACAGATGTGATATCCCATTATAGCTATCATTTTTTTTAACTAAATAATATAAAATGCAATGATAGCAGTTTTTAACAGAATTAGGTATAAATTTTGTGAATTGATGAAATGAAAAGCCCATGGAAACTCTATGAAAAAGGAGTCATCATTGTTTATATATATATTATTTATATATATCATAATATTATTAATAATATATATCATTGTTTATATATATTAACATATATAATTATTTTATAACAATTTTTCGTATTTTCTGTTATGTACTCAAACAATTAAAACAATTTAATATTCTTCTCTAAAAACGAAAAATGTGTTTCCTTATTCTGCATAATGATTTTTGCCTTTTTGAATTTCGGAGGACGGAAACAAATTGTTTGATTCTCTTACTTTGAAAATTTTTCATTATCTTATGAACAGTGTCAGCTCAAAAATTTTCGAAAAAAATTTCATCGTTAAGAATCTAAAAGTTATTATGTTTCTTTAAACGTAAACTATCCCTTTCTTCGTATTTATTTCCCGCTTTTGGTTTCCAAAACTTATTTTTTCTGACTTATTTATTTATTTTATCAAAATAGACAAAAATTACTTTATGCTATTTTTAACTTAGTGTATATTTTGTGATTAATAAACTTGTTTGTGATTATAAATTTGTTCACTTTTTCACTTTCTTAATACATTATTTTCATTTTATTTTGGCAAAACATTAATATCTCATTTTATTTTTACCTTCAATAAATTTGGAGGAAATATTACATTGCCGAGGCATCCCAAGACCTTAATGCATCACGAGAGTAGCGAGGTATGCTTTAAGGCTGAACATGGTCGAGGGAAGGCAAGGCACTTCTAACCAAATTCGCAATTTATCAGATTGCATTCCTAGGGTTGCAATCCAATATTACAGGGATTCGTGTCAAAATTTTGTTCAAAAATTGGAAAAATAACTAATTTATCATATTGTTTTCAGTTTTTGTAATTTTTTAATTTTTTGTATTTTTCTTTTAAAAAATATTGTTCATCACATGTATTCTATTTCTATAATTTTTTAATAAAATCTCATTAGAAGAAGTAGAGTTATTTGCAAGCTTACCAAATAATTTGAAATGTTCCCTTTAACCCTGTTAACAGCTGATTTTTAGTAGAGTTAGTTTAAGTTGACCTGCCTTAGATATAGCTGCCGCTATAATCTGCAGTTACACATACACATCTTACACTTCCTGCAAATACACACACATCTTAAACTTCCTGGAAATACACACACATCTTAAACTTCCTGCAAATACTCACACATCTTAAACTTCATGCAAATACACACACATCTTACACTTCCTGCAAATACACACACATCTTACACTTCCTGCAAATACACACACATCTTACACTTCCTACAAATACATACACATCTTAAACTTCGTACAATTACACACACATCTTAAACTTCCTGCAAGTACACCCACATCTTAAACTATCTGCAAGTACACACACATCTTACACTTCCTGCAAATACACCCCATCCTACTCTTCCGAGTAATACACACAATCCTACCCTCACTTCCTACTGATGCGCACACTATATTCCTACACTTCTATAGTAATACACAAGACCCGCTATCCTACATTTCCTACAAATAAATTCACTATCCTACACTCCTCAGTAAATTACCAGAAAATTAGAAAAATCAAAAATGTGAAATTAAATATTTAAATAATTTTGCTAGAAAATTGCAATCTAGCCAAATATTGCTTTTCAGGCATCTTGGATTCTCTCTCAAAAAGGGGTTTTCTGTTATGTAAACATATGAATAATAAGATTTTAATACAATTTACATTGTGTCAATTATTTCTAAAAATAATTCCCTTGAATAAAAGGATGATAAATCCACGAGCGTTAGCGCCCAAAATTTTCAAACTCAAGAAAACTTTATTTTAGCTGATCGTTGCTGGATCAGCAGGATGTAATGATACAGAAGTATTCATAACTATACTTCGAAGACGACTGTACAAAATTCTTTCTTTCTTTTTTCTAACAAAATGGTGCAGTGAACCATTAAACAATTGTTTTTTTTCTTTGAAAAATCAAATAAAAATAATATTTTAAAACTTTATATACTTTGGAGCAAATTGAACCATATGCAATTGTATACTTTAATAAGAACATTTGTAAAAGCTGACCAAATGTAGTGGAAGAAGTGGAATGATATGTTATAGCGCTAGTTTTTAATAATTGATCAAATGTAAACTGTTGCCGAATTGTAAATTGACCATTTGTAAAAATTACGAAACGCTAATTGAAGAAAATGTAATTTGAGATATTGTATCAACTTCGCCTAAACTCGATGTACATTAAAGGGAGTGACTAGCAATGTATGGTAGTTGAACTGAGATTGCAGTATTATTGAGAATTTTTTTTGATTCATTTGAGAACTATCAGACGTTTTTACGGTGCATATTTTTTCAGCAAGAGCGTAAATTCAATTATTAAAATCCTCTTAGATTGTCCATTTTGAATGGATGATTTTGAGAGTCAGTTTTATGAAAATTATTCAAAAACGACGAAGAAAAATGTAGCCAAATTTCTACAGTAAACTAATTAGATGTTTAAGAACATATTTCTCATTAGTAATCATATAAATCAATAATAGAAGCAATTGTTTCTTTTTCATCACTGTAGATTTTTCAAAACCTTCAAATGTCGTCTTTTCAATAAAAATTCAAGGAAATCTGCTGAAAATGGTTTTGAACACTGAGACATTACAGAAACCAATAACAAAATAAGAGTTAATTTTAATTTTCTCAACCTGTTTCTCAAAATCATCCCTCTAAAATGGACAATCAATGAGGATTTTAAAGATTTCATTTGTGCTCTTGCTGAACAAATATGCACCGTAAAAACGTCTGGTAGGTCTCAAATGAATCCTAAAAGATTTCTTAATAACACTGCAATCTCAGTTCAACTGCCATTATGACATTTTCAAATTGTAAATTGCTGGAAATATTAGATTTATCTAAAATGCGTTTGGGATGTATTGTGATATACTCAGTGACCTGATGGAGGCAGGTTGCGTACATTTAGGAAAATTTGCAAAATTTTCGATTGCAAAATGACGCGGAAAAATTTAGGAAAAATTAGAACATTCTTGTTTGTTTTTAAGCATAAATATATTACTACAAGATATGATTATGATTTATTATTTTTACACAAAAACAAGAAAGCATATCAGTATGTAATCTCCTGGCCACATGTACGTCCAATAACATTATTTTATAAGGAAAAATCATTGCCACAGGGACATGTAAGCGTAATTTCAAGTAACACTCCATACAAATATAACAATGCCCGATTTATAACGGTACCCTTGAAACCTAGTAATGATCAATTATGTGGAAGATATTGTCGTTTTCAAGTTAAAAAGTTTTTAATTCTGAAAGTTCCTTTTTTCCCTGTGATAGAAATTAGCGAGCCATTTTTTAAAGAGAAACTACAGTTGAAAATAATATGATATTTAATACATATTTGATTAGACAAGAGGTACTGTTGTGAATCGAGCATTGTTATATTTGCAAAAAGGATCACTTGAAAATTAGACCATGAGGACAAATTTTGAGAATTTGGTGATTTGTAGGACAATATCTTTCATATTGTTACTTAGATTTTACAGTTACAGGGACACTCAAATTACGCCAAAATACTCTTCAATGGAAAGTAAGAGAAGAGATATTCTGCAAGGTACTAATGCAAGTAAAGTTATTTCAGAGGTGTACGCATTTTTTGTACTGCAGTGTACTGTCTTTGGGCGGAAAAGTAAACACAAGACGGATGTCACATCCTGATATGGAATCCATTTTTACAAAAATAATCTATGAAATATTCTGGTCATGGAAAACTTTTATGTGAGTTTTCAAAATTATCAAAATTAAATGCTGTTAACCTCCTCGGATACTAAACGAACACTGATGCATCTTTTCTTGTTTACAAATTTCGCCCAAAGAGAACTGGTTTCAATATGTACGCAGAGTATACGCAACCGCAATTAACTTTCCTTGCATTAGCACCTTGAGATATTCTAAATTCTCTTAACTAAGGAATTTAGTCGTTGTAACTTTTCAACCTGATGGTTTTGATATTTCAAACTTAGATTATTTTGTCCAACAGAATTCATAGTTTGAAATATCTAAGGGTCTACGACATTGGGTTGCAAAGATATAGTGATTAGAAAATCAGAGTTTGAGGCAAAGACCCAGTTCCTATGTTACGGTTATAACAAATGCATTTCAAATTATCAATCAAATGTTTTTTATAGTTTAAATAGCTTTCAATGTAATATAAAAGTTTCAGTATTTGGTTCACCCCTCAGGGGAATATATGTAAGTTTCTGCAAGTTACCCCTTGACCAATTTGCCTCAAAATTGTGATCAGAGAAAACGGTAACACCACGGGATTGGTCTTAGTTTAGTTTAAAATTTGAATTTGAATTGCATTGGAGAGTTTTGTTTCCAGGCAAAGCGTGGTATCCAAGCTAGTGATTAATATTTTTAAACCAATGAACATTTTCTCTTGAAAAGCTGATTTGATTATTTTGCAGTTTTGAAAATATTGACATTTTTAACTTCCTGGGACTTGGAAGCTGTGATTTATGTCAGGTAAATAAAATTACGGAGGTATGTCGA